TAATTTTTTTTTTTTTTTTTGGTCATGGGGCTTGAACTCTGGGCCTGAATGCTGTCTCTCAGCTCTTCAGCTCAAGGCTAGCACTCTATTATTTGAGCCACAGTGCCACTTCTGGCTTTTTCTGCTTATGTGGTGCTGAGGAATCGAACCCAGGGCCTCATGAATTCAAGGCAAGCACTCTACCACTGAGCCACCTTCCCAGCCCTCCAGTTCTTAATTTTAAGCTTAACTCAATTTCTGGATATTGGACAAAACTCACTGAGCTTTATTTTTTTTTAACTTTAAGTTTGTAAGAGGTTAGGTGCACAGAGCCTGCAGGACAGAAGGGAAACATTGTAGAGGAACTTGCATGGCTCTTCCTGACTGATGGGATGGGTATATGCTGAGTACTGAAAAGGAAGGCAGCAGAGTACCAGAACCTGTAAGTGGGCCATCTCCTTTGCTGTCATTCCCACACAATCCCTCATGGGTTTTCCTGTATGGAGAGAATTGGCTTACCCATTAAGGTGTTCAGAAATGCCCTTGCCTTTCCTGACAAACATATTTTTTCCAGTTTAATATTTATAGTAAATGCAAATATTTATTAAAACAAATAATATTTACATTGCACTAATATCATAATATAATACTCAATATTTCCAAGGTAGTATTTTTTAATACAGATTGGGTCTTAACGTTTGAATTAGCCTTCCTGAGCCTATTCACCACTGGGAAATTGGATACAAATCCCATGCAAATGTTGTATGTCCATTTTCTTTTCTGTGTTATATCCCCAACCAAGTCAATGTTGCATGGTGAGACCCTGATCATAAGGGTTCATGAACTTGCACCTGCAGCAAACTGTGACTAAGTCTCTTGATTCCTGGGGAGCATGGGGGTTCACTCAACTGTGTGTCTTACAAATGCATCCACATGCTCAGGACTTCACTGAGATTACCTTTTCCTGCAGACGTTCAATAATAGCAGCTAGATTCGCCTCACGGTTTTCCTTAATTTGTTCCATTTTCAGGATCAGCTTTTCCTCCGCCATCTTGCTGAAGTTGTTATTCTCCTCCAAAGCCTTCTGAAGGACCTCTCTCTCATGCTCCCTCTTCTCTGCCAATTGTTTCAACACCTGGGCCTCCTGAGACTGGGAAAGATAAACAAAGCCAGCTGATAAATCTCTGAATGCCTGACAGGATGGAGGAAATTCCTTCCTTTCAGAGGAGCCTAACTTGCAGCCTAGCACAGTGCCTTCAGTTCCACACTTAACATGCACAGTGTAGAGTTTTCTATAGAATGTGGTTAGCTGGGAAATGTGGCTGAATTTTCAAGCTGTGAATTTTTTTTTGGGGGGGGGTAGATTGTTTTAGGAGAAACATTTAACTCTCATTCATTAAAAAAAGTTGCAGCTAAGCATTTTGTAAAGGGAAGTGCTATAATTAATTTCTGGATAGGAACATTGCTTTGAAATCTGAGGAACCATGGGTGAGGAGTTGGCCACTTTTTCCTTTCCTTTCTGTCCTTTCTCTGCTCCATTGTTTTTTGACCAGCTGTAGGCTGGACCCTAAGATAAGCTTTTTGATTTTTGTCAATCAAATCATTAAATCGCTTCCCTTCTTTTACCTTCATTCTTCCTTCCTTCTCTCCTTTCCCTCCCTCCCTCCTTCCTTCCTTCCTCTCTCTCTCTCTCTTTTTCTTGGTAGTATTGGAGCTTTGCATTGTCTAGAGCCACACCAACACTTTTAACACAGGTGATTTATTTTCTATGTTTTGGTATGGGACTTAAACTCTGGGTATCATGGTCTTGCTTGGTGTTTTTGCTTATGGCTGTTCATCTACCACTTGAGCCACACCTTCAGATCCAGTCTTTTGTTACTTAATTGGAGGGAAGAGTCTCTAAGATTCTGAGAGCTCAGCCTCCTGAGTAGCTAGGGTTATAGATGTGAGCCGCCGGTGCCTAGCTGCACTGATTGTTTTTGGGATAGTCTTGCTTCTTCCCAGGCCACATACTTGGACTGTATTCCAGTTATTTTAGGCTTTCTAGGATAGCTGGCATGACAGACACCTGCCACCATGCCCAGCTTGTGTTGAAATGGGAGTCTGAAGAATTTTCTGACTAGGCTGCCCTGAACCTACGATCCTCTTGATCTCAGCCTGATCTCAACCACATGGCTAGGGTGTCAGATAAAAGCCCAGCTATTGGTTGAGAAGGTATCTCTTTAACTTTTCTGCCCAGACTGGCTTTGAACTATAATCGTCCTGATCTTAACCTCTCAAGTAGCTGGGATTCACAGGTCTAAACCACTGTTGCCTAACTAAATTCATTTTCTTCCTATCCCGTGTTTGTTCTCCCTTTCCCCATGGGCTAGATTGTCTTTGGAGATCTAAAAACAGCTTAACACCTATTTGGCCACAGCTAGCAGAAAGCCCTTATTCTGATCCTCACTGGGTATGCACTGAAACCCCACGGTTGCTACTTTGATTAGAACAGAAACACCAGTTAGAAGTTAGGGGTGCTTCCTTCAGCCCCTCCCCTGTTTGAGGAACTGCAATTCTCTTCCAGCATCAGGAGGCCCCCTGGACTCCTAGGGTGTACATCATCACTGGGCTACTTGGTAAACATACAGGTGCTGCCACCTACATCCAAGGTTCTTTGGTGGGGCCCAGGAATCTACATCTTCCAATCGCCCCAGTGATTGTAGTGCAGGGAGAACCAGGCTACTTGGTGCAAAATGCACTGGTGCTCTCAATGGCGTGTTTGAGCCTTAGCTGCCTTGTTAAGCTTGGAAGTATTATTTTTCTCCTCCACATTATACAGCAAAGAGAAATCTTATCCAGTCCTAATCTATCCAGGCTAAGACCAAGTGATCACACATTTATTGGTCCTAGTCAGTTCCTTGAGACTGGCTGATGTTCTGAGGTAAGCCCTTGCATCAGGGAAGGCTGTACATGTGACTAGGTAAACAGTGATAGTCCCCCCCACCAAAAAAAAAGAATCCCCAAAGGACCTGTTAAATGTTGAGTTTCTTAGAAAGTATCACTAGGAGAACATGGTAGTTGATGGTTGTGGTCGTGGTAGTTACTTTTGAAAGATCGTGCCTATGCAATATTGGGCCTCAAAAGGAAAAAGGAAAGCTGTTCTCTTCACCTAAAATTTTATAGACATGGTAAAATCAGACAGCAGTTTTTTTTTTTTTTTAATGGGGGCGGGGGCTTGTTTGTTGTGTCTATTCCAAAGCCTGTGGCTTTGTGGGGGATTAGGCAGAAAATCCCAGAGACTGGCCTGCTTCTTGCTTTCATCCTGTAATGGTTTTACTGACATTTTTAGTGGACTTCTCACACTGTTCCTTTGTTTTAGCTCGTGTGAAAGATTATATGGAAGGCATAGAAAATGATAACATGAACAGTTCACAACTGAATGGAGGCTTTCTACAAAGAAAAATTAATTACCTACTATGTAGTACTTTCACTCTTTTACCTCTAGGGGGCCTGCCGATAAAAAGCAGCCTATGCAGATTTTGCTTATGTAGGGCTACCAGGATTAATAAAGATGAAGGGGGGAAGGGGGAGGGAAGAAGGAGGGAAATGGGGAAGAAGAGGTTGAATGGGGAGTAAGGAAAGGAGGAAAGAGGGGAGGAGGATGAGGTGAAGGCTTTGGAGGCTCTTATGGTTGAGTATAGTCTAAGTCCTTTTCTAAATTTCCTTCATTCCCAGCCACGCACTGTCTCCTGAAGGAGGTCATATGAATAGGCAACCCCATGGTGAATTGCACCCTACAAAGAAGAGGAAGCCATTTCAACCTTCCATTCCAGCAAGTTCTCTATCTGGGATCTCCTGGCCAGAGGAAGAAGGATGCTGATCACCACACAAGGATATGATATGTCCAAGCATTAAGGGTGGGATGGGAGCCTTTGGCAGTCCCAGGAAATAAAACCAAACCAAGCAAGTCCCAATGAAGCAGAACAAAACGTATCCATTCAAAATCCTCCAGTGTGGTGCTATTAATTACATTCTACCTGAATGTATGAACAGTTAATGTTCATCTGGTCCATGGGCCACACCTGCTAAGGGTAGCTAGAGATTCGTTCAGCCTTAGCAGTTCCTTTCTTTCCCTTCTCCTATATGAGGGTCGCTGTCCTGACAGCAATCCTCTGGCTTTTCCATGGCCCTTTGTTTCTAGTAGCCTTCCGGCAGGAGCTTCTGTGGCACAGGGAAATTAGCCCCAACCTGGAACTCTAAAAGCCTCTTTTCATCCTACTGTGGGGAGTGTGTGGGCCACCCTGTCACTGTGGAGACAGGCTTTACTGCAAGGTGGTGCTATGACTTGAGGCCTGAAATGCCTGAAATTTTCATTTCCATAAACTCCAAGTAACTCCAGTAATTTGTTTGCTTGTGCTTTCACTTAATGTTCATATTTGAGCCTTAATTTTTTTTTTTGCAATAGAGACAAAGAGGAGACAGCAGGAGAGGAAGGTTGAGAAGGGAGTGCATTGAAATGAAAAGAGGAACATAGCACTATGTGCCTTTTCAAGTTTCTTGCCTTGGTGGGCCACACTTGGTTGCTTGAACAAGTACTCTCTCGCTCAGCATTAGGAGCTGTAAGTAATGACTACTGCAGGTACAGCAATGCGGGACTGGCTGGCCTCATGTTGTATGGCTAATACTTTTGCAGCCACTGGGGCTACAGGAGATCTCACAATAGAGGTATGAAGTGTACATGTTTTTAGCCCTGTTAACTGAGTGATACAGAAATAGAAAGGAATATAGAGTTTGTTGCTAACTGACAAAGACGTCCTGGGCTGTTCTCTTCTGGATACCTGGCCTTCACACTGAAGGAAATCTTAAATCCACCGTTACTCCAACTAATGCATTTGCAGGCCCTGTAACTGGCTATACTTCACATAGTTAAAGCTCAAATCTCTGAAAAATATACTAAGATATGGAATTTGTTATGGTGGATAGCTTTCTTCACTGAGAGAATACTTAGGGATCTGTCTTTTGATTCCTACTTGTAAATAGTCCATGCTTAGGAAAATTCTTTAATGGAGTTGGTTGCCATGAAGGGGGGGGGGGAAGAAGGAGGGAAAGAGGGAAGAAGAGGTTGAACAGGGAGGTGATGTGCACCTCCACTGAAAGTGAACCTTACCCCTTCATCATTGACTAGCATCCAGCTACTGCTGCCCTACAATGTCTCTAGCTTTATCCCTAGGGAGAAGTTGATTTTCACATGAATATAATTTAATCTTCAGTTATACTATGAAGAAAAATAGTATTGATTCTAGTTTTTTTTTTAAACTGGTTCTGGAGCTTGAATTCAAGGCCTTGGCACTTTCCCTGAGCCTTTTTGTTCAAGGCTAGTGTTCTATCACTTAAGCCACAGCTCTACTTCTAGTTTGTTTTTAGTGGTTAAACTGGAGGTATGAATTACATGGAATTTTTTTTTTGCCTGAAATGGTTTTGAATTGTGCTCTGCAGATCTCAGCCTTCTGAATAGCTAGGATCCCAGACATGAGCCACCAGTGCCCAGCTCTGATTCAAATATTTTTAATTAATGAACAAGACCATTAATTAAAACTAGCTATAAATATTGCACCAAAACATGATCTGACATGAGTAGAACAAAGCTGTGTGACATACAAAGTTGTGGTAGAAGTTACATGCTTCCTCCTTGTGCAAGTAGGTAGTATTATGACATACTTTGGTTGGGTAGATCAGCACAAAGAGCTGGTAAGGGAATGGGAGAGAGGTGATTTGCTAAAGATTGTTGGAAAGAAATTGTTCAAAGATAAAGTAGCTGATCTTGGAAGAACATTTCTAAAGAGTGTGTACCTCACACAGAAGGTTGCTAAACTACTAACTTGGACCATTGACGATCAAGATAACAATCAGCTAATAGAATGCAACTGTGAAGGCAAAATCAATCTCTGCAGTCTGTTGCTGCTATAGAAACTGAGGCACCTTCCGTAGAGGTAAAGCCCTTCACATGAGCTCAGGATGGCTGCAATTTATGAGAGGGGAGAGAAGGGAAAGCAATGAGGCCTACAGGATCAGAGTTATTGGACATTTAGGAACATTTCACCATTTTTTTTTCAGGGAAGTTAATTACCATTTCTTACTTAGAGTGCCGGGTTTAAGAGTTGAATGGCTGTGCAAATGAAATGGAAGATAAATTTAAGTTAATTGGTACATAAAATTTTATTTTACTACGACTTAAGACTAGGTTTTAGATGTCAATAATTTCCACTCATTTCTGAAGTAAACACGTTCCCTCCACCTCATTTTTGTGTCCCTGTCTATCGTGTTGGGGAATTTATCACTTGTAATTCAGACTCTTTATCAAATGTCAAATGTCCCAGGACACACATGCCTGCACACTTGCAGGTTGGATGATGTGTCTGTAGCGATCAGCTTTCCTGCTAACAATGACTGTAGCCCATCTACAGTCACAAATGATGCCTTGAAGTATGACAATCTGGCATAGTTATATTAACCAAGGATGGCAAGATTCATGTTGGGTTGGAAAGCCAGAGGTATAAGAAGAAATTAATAATGAATAAAATACAAAGCATTTGAGAATGAGCCCATCTTATTCTGAAGCCTTTCTGCTCCTAGGAAGAGATTTTTGGGGGTTGTACCCAAAGTGGGGACTCTTCACCCAGGAATAGTGCCAGGGAGGGCTCTGTAGTGGTGGTGGTGGGGTCACACTGTCTTCCTGAATAGCAAAGTGTGAAAAGCCAGCACAGGATTATATAAACCCACAGTTGTACACTGCCCCTCCCCCCCCCCCGTTTTCTGGTTTACATCTCAGTTGCCTTAGCTTCAAGAGACCCGAGCACCACCTGTGCTGGGGATGTTAGTATGTGAATTAAATCTCACTGCATTTCTTTGAGGAGTGCTTTTTAATTTAATCTAGTCTATTTTAGGATGCAGTGTTGCCACTTAACTGTTTATTTTTTCCCACAATACTAATTGTTTCGAGTTACATTTAGTTGGACCGACCTACTTATGTATTTAAACATAATATACCAGACTGTTTATACAGTCTACACACTACGCAGATTGATAGAGTATTTATGGTCTTTAAAAACATTTATGAAATGATTTATCTGGTAACATTTTGCTAGCTATCCGTGTTAATCAAAGCTATGTTCTTTATAGAATCCTGAGTTGCTAGACTCTGTGAGGTCCAGGACTGGATGTATTTTTAGGAATGATGGACAAGGCACCGACAGTACTTGTTCTGTATGTTAGGCTGATGAACCTAATTCTCACATAGCTCCATGATGTAGAACTAAAACAAGCCTCATTCTAGTCATGGGCAAAAGGAGATAAATAAGTGATTTGCATGAGGGCACATGGAAATGGTGGATCAGAGTTTGACCACAGAAGTTAAAAATGTGGTGTATGATCTATTGCAGTCACGATTAAACATTACACAGATATCTCTATCTTTATGGAGTCTATAACCTAATGGGAAATACAAGCTTTAAAAATACGCAAATTACTGCACACCTTGGCCATAGCCATTGGCTGATCTGGATGAGTTCATAGGAATGCAATTCTAGGACTTTCTTAGGACTACTGGGGAAGAGAAGTCCTCTTTCTGCTGGAATTGCTAAATTAGAGAAATAATATTGGAACCAACTAAAGCTAGGCTTCTTGGTATTGAAGCCAATTAGAAGCAAGAAGAAATGATAGAAAGTTTTCTGACAATATAGTTTAATCTTGTGAATACAGCTGTTCCAGCCCCCTTTTAAAAATTTTTGGTGGCACTGGGATTTGAACTTGCAGCTTGGTGCTCTGCTGTTCCTTATGCTGAAGATACTCCTAGACTTTTTTTCCTTTTTTCTTTTTTTGCCAGTCTTAGGGCTTGAACTCAGGGCTGGGGCATTGTCCCTGAGCTTCTTTTGTTCAAGGCTAGCCCCTCTGGAGCCACAGCACCACTTCTGGCTTTTTCTGTTTATGTGGTACTGAGGAATTGAACTCAGGGCTTCATGCATGCTAGGCAAGCACTTTACCACAAAAACACATTCCTAGTCCCATTCCTAGACTTTCAAGGCACACACTCACTTTTTGCTCTAGATAACTGAATTACGCTTTAGTTCTCTGCATGTCCTTGCTAGGATATTTACTGAGATATATGTACTAGCTGAAGATTTTAATAAGATTTAGGTTCTTCAAACAAGCACTAATTAAGTCAGCACCATCCAATAGAATAAAATCAATTGATGACTCTCTTTAAATTGGTATTTTGTGTTAATTATACTTTCTTCTAATTAAAACTCTACCACAAGAACATAACCTAGATAGTGCCTTTCATAAAAGACTTTTTTTTTTTTTTTTTGCAGGTCCTGGGGCTTAAACTCCAGGCCTGGGTACTGTTCTGAGCTTCTTTGGATTAAGGCTAGTAGGCTAGTGCTTTATCACTTGAGCCACAGTGCCATTTCTATGTAATGGGAATTTTAACAAATAATAGGAATATGATACAATACTGCTTTGAAAAGGCTTCAAAGTGTCTTCTAGCTGTGGTCAATTTCTTCTGCAATTTAAAGGTTTACATGTGTAGTTGTTGATCCTTTATTTCTGTCAGAATGCAGTTTCATTAGAATCTTTAGTTAACAAAGGGAGTGTGATGAGTTTTCTAAGTTAGCACCTAGTTAATTTTGATCATCTCTGTTCTTTTCCTTTCAATAATTTTCTTTGAATTAAATATATTAGAAATACCATCAATAAACTTAACCATGACACTGACTTTTGGTTTTTGGGTTTAATCTCAGCTCAGTTAATGACTTCATGTTCTGATCTCAGTGTGACAATTCATGAGCAATTTAGAGTCTGTACCTACCTCATGCTGATCATGGTAAGATACATCTTATGGCAAGAACATAACCTGGCTCCATGCCACATCTCCTTAGGGACTGAGTCATGTCCAATGCAGCAAAGTTCTGATGGCCTAGAAGTCTGGATTATTTATTGTAGCTTAACTATGGGAAGAAAAGCTAAAAATAATTAAAAGGTGATAATTTAAAAAATGATTCCTGCATATATACTTGAGTTAGTATGTCAGTTTACTCTTTTCTTCTTACCTGAATTTAAAAATTCTTTTAAAAATGATTATTGCTGTTATGAAGTAGTTGTACAATAAGGTTACAATTGCATAAGTCAGGTCAGTTCATTTTTTGGGGGTGGGGGGGAGTGAAGATTGAACCCAGGGCTATGAGGTGGCTAGGGAGGTGCGCTACCACTTGTGCCACACCCCAGTCCTCCTTTTGTCTCTATTTTGGTTTTAGAAGTAGAGTTTAGGTAACTTTGGCTCAGCTGACCTCAAACTTGTGATCACTGCCTTGGCCTTCTGAGTAATTGAGATTATAGGTGTGCAGCACCCTGCTCTGATCAGTTTCCTCTTTTTTTTAAAATTTAAATTTTTATAAAATCTATGACTATAACAGTACTTGGTAAAAGAGCATATATATATATATATATATATATATATAATATCATTAGATACCTAAGGAGTCTCATTCTAAAGTGAGAAACTGAAATTGGGAGTAGCATATTACATATCATAGGAAGATTTTTTTCAAACATAAAGGTTATTATTTTCTTATTTGGAAATTTAATCTGAGAGCTTCAAATCTCTCTCTCTCTCTTTCTCTCTCTCTCTCTGTCTCCCCCTCCCTCTCTCTGAGTGCATGTCTGTCTCTACATCTATATCTATGTACTCCTCCCCACCCTATATTTCTGCTTGTTCTGAATTCCCTGCTGGATAATTCAGTAATGAAGAGAAGGACACTTTTCATTCTTTCGGTAATTACACAGCACCAAAGTGTTTAATGTTGTAGCTGATATTTTATAGACAATATCTTCATCAAATGAAAAATATTAAAATGCAATTTCCATTCCCATAAGTCTGTGTATAGAGTATATATATTGTGACTACCTGAGTGAAAAATACGTGATAAAACTTACAGGGAAAATATGATGTAGGGAGAGAATTCTATGTTTGGGTAATCAGGAGTGCCTGGAGGAGAACCACAGCCATAGCACTTGGCTGGAGCACGTCTGCTCATATGGAACTTCTATATTATAGAGTTGCTTGGATTTCTTTTCAGTTCTTTTCTTTCCTTTTCTTTTTGCCAGTCCTGGGGCTTGAACCTAAGCTTCTTTTGCTCAAGGCTAGTACTCTACCACTTGAACCACAGCACCACTTCTGGCTTTTTCTGTTTATGTGGTACTAAGGAATCGAACCCAGGGCTTCATGCATGTTGGCAAGCTCTCTACCACTAAGCCCTGCTCAGATTTCTTAGTGACTTCAAATCTGAATGCCCTTGGCTTTTCTTAGCACTTGCTTGGAGAAAATTAAGATTTTTAAAAATGGAAAACATCTGTAACACAAGCAGGAAGCAATGACAAAAACAGAAACAAATCCCCTTAAGGCTTGGAAATGGGCAGAAGATAACCCAGGGTCTCTTAGAAGATTAATTTGTTGGAAGGATTAAGTTCAAGGGCAGACAGTGAGGCTCTGGGAAGAAAGAGGGTGAGCTCCAGCCCTCTGGATTTCACTTCTACCTGGGAGCTGGTAGTTCCAAGGAAAGCTCTGCATTGCACTGGGGGTGACATGTGGACCCTGAGAAGGAGGAATCTCCACTCCTGTCCCTCACCCCCAACACTGGGAGTCATCTAGAGCTGGAGCTCTGAGGAAGAGTGTGGACATTAGGACACTGAAGCTCTGTTTGTCTACCATAGAATTGAAGAAATTTTTACCCTAATAAGCCTGGCTCTAAGTCTCCTGGAGACTTGGCACATGGTGTGATGGTCAAGCCGGTCTTCCTCCCCAGACACCTTTGCTTATCTCTCTCTGTTGCTCTCTCTTTCTCTCTCTCTCTCTCTGTATATGCATATGTGTATGTGAGAGAGAAAGAGAAAGAGAGAGGAGGTAAAAGACAGACAAGCAGACAGACAAAAAGAAAGAGACAGAGAGAGAACAAGGACAAGGAGGGAGGGAGGGAAAGGCAAGGGAAAGGGAAGGGAGAGAAAAGAACTTAACTATCTATGGGGAAAATTACCTTTCTTCTTTCTTCAGCAGCCTCCAGCTTCTTCTGGATCTCCTCCAGGGACAGGTCTTTCTTCTTTGGAGAAGCTAAAGTTCGGGGCGCTTCAGAGACAGGAGATGGTGGCTTTAAGATCAGCTCAAAAGCCTGGCCAGAAGCACGTTTGTTGATCTGCTTCACTTCCATATCTGAGAAAGTTGGAGAAAGTTAAGTTCAAGCATCCAGTGGAGCATTGAGAGTTTGGAGAATGCAATTAATTAAAAAATTTGGGCTCCAGCAATTGAAAGCAGCATTGTTATTCCAGGAGATAAATTAGTGATACTTGCAACTTGCCTACATTGTTTTGGACATATACAAAGTCTCTTGTTAGCATAACTATGGATATAGTTTGATAGAATAAATATTTACAGTGTTGAGAAATTTAATAATAGCTACAGAGAGTTCAATAATGACAGACATATTTAGAAAAACAGGTTTAACTTGAAGCTCAATTTTCTTTTGAACAGATGAATTTTGTATAAAAGAAAAGGAGTATGGATTTATTTTTTTAAAATATCATAACTGGAAGTGTTTTTCTATTAGATGATGAAGAAAAGAACAGAGTTCTCACATATAAGAAACATAAGTAGTTAAGCGTCCCATTCTTTTGCCTGGGGAGCACAGGAGTGGCTAGAAACAAGGTAACTTCCATTTGGCAAAGCAAATGTGAATGCTCATGTGAACTTCCTGTTGGTTGTTCAGGGTGTCTGCTACTTTTTGAGACCCAGTAGATGTAGTATCCTCTCTGTCATAGGCATCCTTGCCTGTCTGAAAGGGATAATAGACAAGATTCCACTGTTCCGTCTTTGCTCCTACTTTATTGCTACTTACAATACCCTCTCAAAATGCTTCTCAAATTGGAGCCAGGGGAAGAGACATTGTATTAGTGGAGGGTGAAGCAGCCTTTACTTCTTTAATTCATACATATCCACTCAGAAAATTATTCAGCCCTAAACAAGGGCACCCTGCCATTTTTTGACAAAAACCAATGAACTTGGAGACCATAATACAAAGTGAAATAAGCCAGGCAGAGAAAGACAGGATCTCATTTACAGGTGGAATCTATAAAAAAAGTTGAACTCATAGAAGTCAAAAGAGGTGGTTACCAAAAGCTCTGGGGTGATGGTGAGGATATATATTAGGAATTGTTGGTCAGAGGGTAGAAGATTTCAGTCACAGGGAACCTCTTGTACAGCCTGTGATGATAGTTAACAACAAAGTGTTGTGCTACTAAAAATCACCAAGTCAGACTTTATGTTCTCCCTGTCAGTCTAGGAAAAGTATTGCATATGTTAATTAGCTTGATTTGGCCATTCTGCAATATACACATCTTTCAAAATCTTATATATTAAACAATAGCTCAGTGGTCAGTTTGGATTTTAACTGAGTGGGTTTGTTTCAAACTTGACTATATCCTCTGATTTTGGATCACTGCTCTTGCTTGTGATCTGAAACTCTGTGATGTAAGGCCATTTTCTGTGGTGAGTCACAGTCATCCTTCATTGACTGAGAACCCTGAAGGACACCAAAATCAAAAAATGCCCTGAGCTCTTACACAAAATAGGGAGTATTTGCATCCAACCTTCAGAACACCTTAGGTCGACTCTAGTACCTAACATAATGTATATGCCACTTATATTGTCTTGCATGGGAAAAAAAATGACAAGAGAAAATCTCGAAATGTTCAGCATAGGTGCAAGTTTGTGTGTGTGTGTGTGTGTGTGTGTGTTGGTCCTGGGGCTTGAACTCATGGCCTGGGTACTATCCCTGATTTTCTTTTGCTCAAGGCTAGCACTCTACCACTTGAGCCACAGCTCCATTTCTAGCTATTTTGGTGCCTAATTGGAGAGAAGAATTTCACAGACTTTCCTGCCCAGACTGGCTTTGAATCATGATCCTCGTTTCTCAGCCTCCTGAGTAGCTAGGGTTACAGATGTGAGCCATTGGCTCACATTTTTTATCTGAGTTTGGTTGAATATGTGCATATCTGATAGTAGTAGCAAGGTTTAAGTTCTGAAAGATGGAGGTAAAAAGAGCACTCTTATCCTGGTGGCTCACACCAGTGATCCCAGCTACTTCAGATGCTGAGGTAGGAGGAATGAGATCTGGAGGCCAACCTGTGATACACAGTGAGACCCTGTCTTAAAAAAACAAAACACCTTCCTCCTAACTGTTGTGATGATTAAAAGACAAAGGAATTTGACTGTAAAGCAGAGATCATGATATTTCATGTTTATAGAGATTATAATATTATTAATTTTTCTTACAGTGTTTGTGTGCAATAAACATTTCACGTTATTATCAAGCTGGGAATACAAAGTCAAATTAAAGGCTTTGGAAATTTGAAATTCTTCCCTGACTTTTTTTTTGTGGCCAGTCCTAGGGCTTGAATTAAGGGTCCAGACACTATCTCTGAGCTTCTTTTGCTCAAGGCTAGCATTCTATCACTTGAGATGGTACCACTTCCAGCTTTTTCTGTATATGTGGTACTGAGAAATGGAACCGAGGGCTTCATGCATGCTAGGCAAGCACTCTTCCACTAAGCCGCATTCCCAGCCTCTTTCCTGACGTTTTGGAAGCAGTGTGTGAGTGAGGCAGAACTTCTTCATCTTCTAAGAGTTAACTTGTCCACAGCTTATGCTTTCCTTCTGTCTCCTTCTCAGTTCCCAAGGCAGCCCAAACCACCAGCACCTCCTCTATCCCTAACCAGAATCTTCTACTCACTGATCATTTTCATAATAGGACTGACTCTTTACTAAGCCCTGGGACCCTTGATGGTGTGGGACGTGTCATTTATCTTTGTACCCTCAGAAGCATGGTGGCTAGCTCATGCCTATAATATTCTCACTTGGGTGGTAGAGATCAGGAGGATTGAGGTTCAAGGTCAGCCTGGTCAAGGTTATTAGGACCTTACCTCAACAAATAAGAGGGAGGTGATGGTATCATCCCAGCTAAGAGGAAAGTGTGAATAGGAGGATTGCTGTTCAGGCCAGACTAGGCAAAAAAATGGGATCCTATTGTGAGATGTACAAAATGCTGATTTCATTGTGTCATGGGCTCTTCTTGTACATTTTTGTGAGTCATGGGCTGGCAGGGGGCTCCCGCAGGGGACTCACCATCATAAGTGTAGATGTTGATGTTTCGTGGTTCTGGGTAGAAGCAAGAGCAGATCAGTGACAGCATGGACAGCTCCTTCATTTTTTCCTTGTAGGCTGAAACCAAAGACAGGAGATTAGGATCTTTCATTTCCTGAGTTTCCTCTTAATGTTTCCCTAAATTTGAATAATAATTACAACCACCTGCAGAATGAATATGGCCAGATACCTCTGCTTTGCTTTCTTTCCTAAAATTTAAATGAATAAAAGATGTAAACAGGACTCCAGGGTGTATATGCCCATTACAGAGGGCAGGAATTGCCCATGAAAGCACAGTTAGACAAAGTGTAAATAAGAAAATAAAGGAAAATGGAAGGAATTAAGATCAGGTAATATAGGAAGGGAAAAGAAGAGAAATAGGGAGGAAAAAGAAACAAACACGAATGGAGATGACCATATACTAATTGTGTATCCAGGTCTCTCATACATAAGATTCGGGAGGGCTCCGCTTGAATCACTACTATTCACATGGGGGTAGTTATTAAGCAGATTTATCCTCCAGGGACCTTTGTTTGGCTTTCTTTCCTCCCCCAAGTGCATTTTCTCATTTCTCTCTTTTCCCACACACACCTGGATGATTTGATGAGGTCCCTTTCTGGCAGAGCAACTGCAGGAATTCAGTGTGATTGCTCCGCTCTTTCTTACTTGGGCCCTATTTCATTTTCTCCTTCCCCCTGTAGGGGACGTCCTTCCCACATACACTTAATGAACTCTCATTAACTATTGGTTATCCCCAGGACAAGTGCTTCCAGATCAGACCACTTAGATAGGGGATAAGAAGGTGGGAAGTCTTCTGACCTTAGTTGATCATTTAATTAATAAAATTAACAAATTAAAAAAATGAAAAATGGTAAGTGGGCTATGAATTGACTTGTGATGAAGTCATAGAGCAGCACATTGAGCCTCATAGGTACTATCTGCTTCTTGTCAGGGTCTTTTTGTCCTCAAAGTAACCTCAGTTCATTGGGAAGGAGAGAACTCCCAGAACATGGACTTGGATGTAAATTAACAAGAGATCGTTTGTTGGCCAGCAGGAAACAGATTCAACACGTAGATGCTTTAAAGCCACAGAATGTTAAATGGAGATATTTCTAAGGGAGTTAGTCAGTGATCCATCACTCCACCACCAGTTTGATCAATGAGGTAACTGAGCCTTGCAGATGCCAAAGTCAGATATGGCCAGTGCTTAAGACGGGGCTCTGGCTAAAATACGGCAAATCAGTCTCTCTCAAAACTGCCAAGAGGTCTTCTAGCTTTCCTTTTTGTTTTGTTTTGTGAGGGAAGCACATCATGGTAGAAGCACATGGCAGAGCAAAATCTTTTGCCTCATGGCTGTTAGGTTTTTAAAAGGAAGGTGAGTAAGAACAGCATCAGCACGCATGTGGTATTCAGGTAAGGGGTAGGTTTATTCAGTAGACCTGCTAGGACCAGGCAAGGTTGGCACTCCACGCAGCTGGGAAAGGCCTAGGAAAGAGAGAGAGCTGGAAAAGAGAGAGAAAAGAGCTTGAGAAGAGCTAGACAAGAGCAGAGAGAGAGGTAGCCGAGTAAGAACAGCAGCACTCACGTGGTATTCAGGTAAGGGGTAGGTTTATTCAGTAGATGTGCTGGGACCAGGCAAGGTTGGCACTCCACGTGGCTGGGAAAGAGAGAGAAAAGAGCAGAGAGAGCAGAGAGCTAGAAAATAGCAGCAAGAGAGCAGAGAGAGAGCAGAGAGAGAGCCGAGAGCAGAGAGAGCTAGAAAAGAACACAGAGAGAGAAAAGAGCTTGAGAAGAGCTAGACAAGAGCAGAGAGAGCTAGAAAAGAGCAGCGAGAGAGATAGAGAGCTAGAAAAGAACAGCAAGAGCTAATCTTGTCTTTTTTTTGTGGGGGGGTGGGTCCGGTTGTGGGGCCTGAACTCTGGGCCTGGGTGCTGTCCCTCAGCTCTTCAGCTCAAGGCTAGCGCTCTACCATTTGAGCCACAGTGCTACTTCAGCTTTTTTCTTTCTTTTTTTTTTTTTTTTGCTTATGTGGTACTGAGGAATCGAACCCAGGGCCTCAGGCATGCAAGGCAAGCACTCTACCACTGAACCACCTTCCCAGTCCTAGCTTTCCTTTTAGGATGACACCTAATAGGCCACAGGGTGGGTTTGTTAGCACATAGTTGATGATAGGCAAATATCAAACATTGTCAATTTTCTATATTTCAACTTAACATAAGAGTATCTCCTTCCAACAAGCAACATAACTTGCTATGTAACACTGAAGACCTGGCAACACTTCCTGATAAGTTATTATTATGATTAATAATGCTGATCCTGGGGCTTGGCTTGAATTTAGAGCCTAGGTACTGTCCTTGAACTTTTTGCTCAAGGCCAGTTCTCTATGACTTGAGCCAATTCCACTTCTGGCTTTTTTGGTGTTAATTGGAGATAAGAGTTTCATGGCCTCTCCTGCCTGGGCTGGATTCAAAACAGAATCTTTAGATCTCAGCCTCTTGAGTAGTTAGGATTACAGGTGTGAGCCATTAGTGCCTGGACCCTGATAAGTTTTTATTAAATATTTTTGCAATTTTAGAAGGTTGAACCACATTTGTTTTATTTATTAGAGTTTTCAAAATGGTTATTTTAGGCAAGAGGCAGAGTAAGAACATGAGTGAAGTTCTGCAGTTAATGTGATGTGGCTGAGGAAAAATGGAAAGGAAGGAAAGAAAAATGCATGAGTATGAAACTGGTGACTCATGCCTGTAATCCTACCTACTCAGGAGGCTAAGAACTGAGGATTGTAGTTTAAAGCCAGCCTGGGCAGAAAAGCCTGTGAGACTCTTATCTCCAAGAAACTATCAAAAAGCCAGAAGTGGAGCTGTGGCTCAAATGGTAGAGAGCTAGCCTTGAACAAAAGAAGCTCAGGGACAGTGCCTAGGCCCAGGACCAGCACAAAACAAAATAATAACAAAAAAGAAAGATGTAAGAATGAGATTTTGCAGAGAACAGTTTGAAAATAATAACTACATTTGAGCCAAAGCACAGAGGGAAGATTTGCAGTGGAAGATAAATGGATGGGCAAAGGAGGCTTTCTGGAGAAAGTGTCACTAGGTAGAGGCTCCTCAGATGAGTATTTTGATTTGAGGAAAACGATGTGAGTTGAGACACTGAAATATAAATAATCTGAGTAAGTAGAGTGCGTGTTTGAGCGCACGCACACACACACACTCGCGCACACACACTCCAAAAGAATCCCCAGCAAATGCAAAGGGCTAGGAGAAATATGTTAATAAGATTTAACCACTGGAATTTCATATTTTGAATTGCCAGTCATTTTTCCTATTGTTTTTGGAAAACAATGAATGTTAATCTTTTCACTGTATTTCAACATATTGTGGAGATGAATACATGTTTGTAAGCATTTTCAGTGGTTGGCTGCATTTGCTCTTAATTATTAATGTTTTCAAGTAAATGTATCTCTCTAGCGAATTCATTTAAAATTCAACCCATATGAAGTGTAATGATTCTACAGCAATAGTCACTTAAGCTAATGATGTGTGAACACTTAATTGTATTTCCATTCTTCCAAATGGCTACAATGAACCATCAGTAATTGTAGCAGCTGCTATTTGTTGAACACAAACAAAAATACATTTGCATGCATTTTCTCATATAATCCTCTCAACAGTGTTATTAGAGATGCTTTTAGGATATACTAATTTGTCCAAAAGGACAGATGAGGGGAAAGACTCAGAGAGGTTAGATAACTTGTTTATGGTTCAATGGATTGTGGTTTAGTTTCGATGAAGATCTATCTGACTCTTCTTGCTCATGCTCTACTCCTGTCTTCACTGTCTACATGTTTCTAATAAGAAAATAATATATAATATGATTTATTTTTAAATTAAAGTGTCTAAGTCTTAAAATTTTTTTCTTTGACACTTGCTCCTAAATTCTCATACATATTGTTCCATTGTTATTTAATCTAGAATGGGTTGTATAATTAAAATTTCTTCTGTTTATTCATCCTGGACAAAATTCGATTAGAGTCCTGAATTTTGGCTAGTGGTGAACATAAAAAAAGAATTCATTAGGTTTTGCTGGCAGTGAAGAATATTCCAGAAATACATTAATAGACTACTTTTGGGAGAAAATATCTCAGTCCCTAAATGAAATATTTCTCTGTGTTCTGAGACATTGGCATTCTTTTTTTGGCACAGCTGGGGTTTGAACTCAAGGCTTCTTGCTGGGTAGGTAGGAGGTCTACTACTGAGCTACACCTGTAGCTTTCAAGATGCCTATAAGGATATAAGCAGATCATGACCTTGAATATAGGCTGGCTCCAGGGTTTGTTAGTACATTCCTTAGTTTTTATCCTTTTCCTTGTTTGCCCTGCCATAATATTTTAACAGGGAAGTTTGCTTAGCAAGTCTTAAACAGTGAGTTTGGATTGAACCTGTTTCTTGTTTTGAAAGCTGTCTGGGTAAAATCAGATACTACAAATGCAGGATCAAAATTTCTTTTTTTTAATTGTGAAAATACCGAATAGAGGGGTTACAATTTCATGGGCAAGATAATGAGTACATTTCTTATCAAGCATTGTAGCCTCCTCCTTTGTTTCCCCTTCCCATCCCATCCTTCCCCTGCCCCCTCAAAATTTCTTGAACTTGGTTTACAGCAATTAGATTTGCTTGGCTTCTAACAAAGGGGACAAATGTTTTTTGAGACTTACCAACTCTTACAATATTTCTTATCTTGTTTAACATATTTTTTGGAAACCCCATTACTGTTAATTCTGACTTCCCACTCCAGTACTAAGGCTTGAACTCAAGACCTTGTACTTGCTCTTACTACCACCGTAGTCATACCCTTATCCCCTTTTTATTTTTTCACAGAAAGGATCTCATAGCTTTTCCTAGGCCTGGTCTTGAGCTGAGTCTCCTGATCTCTGCCTTCTGAGTAGCTGGTATTATAAGCCTGACCAACTATGCTTAAGGTGTTCTTTAAGGATGAAATAGACTACTATGAATTAGTTTAAGATCCTTTTTTTTCTGAGATAGGGTGTCACTGTGTAGCATAGGCTGGCCTAATTCTCA